TCTCTCTCTGTCTTTCTCGTGAGTGCACACACCCTATAGCAAAAACCTCTCCAAAAAAAAAAATGTAAAAGAGAAATAATAATTCATTAATTAACTCTTTTTAAAAAAAATTTCCAAGGAACCCAGCCTGTGTTGCACAGTTGGTAGTATGGCAACTGCAGTTCAAGCTACATGGATAAATGTGGTTCCAATCCCCAGCGGATCACGCTGGGCATGCACACGTGTGTGCCTAGGATACTGATGAGCTAGAGGTCTGGGGGATTGGGGTCATAGACTAGACCTTATTGGGGGTGAGCAAGCATTTGCTTGCTTTTTCTCTTTGTCTCTCTCTCATATGCACTCATATGCTTTTATCATGAACTTAAAAAATAATTAGTCAAAGGAAGAGGTACATAGGGCAGAGTCCAGAAAAATATCAAACATAGAACTTCTAGTTATCTTCTCTATGGGTCTGTTATAAATAAAAATGCAATTCATAGCTAAGATGAATCCATCTTTAAATTTGCCCACCAAATATGGGTGGTAGTAAGGTAACAATAGAAATATATGGTCAAGAATTTGTAGAAAAATAATAGTTAAGGTTAATTGGTACCCTGTACGTCACTGAAGAATCCCAATTATTCAGAGCCTCAGTAGGAAGTAGCAATTTTGATATGTTACTACATCGGGAAGAACACTTGAATCCATCTTTCCTTTTTTTTAAAACAGAAAATAATTCCCCAAATTGGAAGGAGGAACAGTTAGAATTAATAGTCAGGAGAATTTTATTATTAACCATCTTTGGAAGAATAAATTGATGATAGCAGCAATGAGAATACAATAGTGATTATATTCATGTTGCCGGTATACTTTGTCTTCTGTTTTATTTTATAATTCCTAGTGAGAATATGTTTTTCTGATTCTATGCTTTCAAGACAAAAACTACAGTTATATGGAGAGCTAGGGCTTAAGCTATAGACTAGTGTTCCTATTAAACACTAGGAAGTGAGCTTGAGAAAGTTCATTTACCATGGATGAACTAAATGGAAGTAAGGAAGAAACAAGTGGAAGCATATTTCAATACTTATTTAGGCATGAAGTGGTAAATATATATATTTTTATTCCTGCCTAAATAATTTTCCTTGTCACATTGCTTACTGGTTAGTACCCTTCATAGAGTCACTACATTATCTTTGAATCTTCACATCTCAAAAACAATTTCTCTTTGGCCATTCTTTGTCTTCTGTTCATTTGTCCATGTATTTATTATATCTTCTCAGTGAACTTCAGTTTACAACATGCCAAAGATGCAAGTGTTCTTTGCTCATGCTGATTTCTCCTTGTTTTAACAGTATAGCAGCATCTGTGATTATATTTTTTGTGGTTTCCCTACCAAGAGGTAATTTGTTCTGACTGTTTTGTAGACCATAATAGCAAGATAGTCCCACCCACTTGTATATATCCCCGTCCATAGCATTTATGTGAAGACTTACAGTATCATTAATGGTATTCTTTTCTAGAAGAAGATGGGAAAGCTGAAGATGTTTTACTGAAGTTCAGAGAATACCAGGACAAGCATTCTAGATCAGTCGTATTCATCAACCACAAAAAATTAATTAAGGAGAGAAGCAATATTTATGAGAAGACACTTGCTCTAGGCAAACACCATGTTATTTCAAAAACAATAGTACATGAATATAAGCCTGATGGAAAGATTTTGAAAAATATTTCAGGAATAGTCCCTAAAAATAATCCTTTAAGAGAGAAGTTTATTGAGAGTAATGGATGGGAGAAATCTCTCTTTAATACTAAGCATGATAAAATTCATCCTGCAATGAATCTCCATAAACACACAGAAAGAGATGTCAATGGTAAACAGGAGCTTATGCACCATCAGAAGTTTCAAACTCCAGAGCAATCATTTGAACATAATGAATGTGAAAAACCCTCTTTTGTGCAAGGAATGTTATTTACACATACTAGGATTCACAAAGGAGAAAGAACCTTTGAATACAATAAAGATGAGATTGCCTTCATAGGAAAGTCAAATCTTGGCATTCATGCACATAATCTTATGGAAAAGAAATCCTCTACATACAACAAATATGGGAAATTCCTCTGCAGAAAGCCTGTTTTTATCTTGCATCAGAGACCTCAAACAGAAGAGAAACCGTTTCAATGTCCTTACTGTGGGAATAGCTTCAGAAGGAAGTCATACCTTATTGAACATCAGCGAATTCACACAGGTGAGAAACCTTATGTTTGCAATCAGTGTGGAAAAGCCTTCCGTCAGAAAACAGCCCTCACTCTTCATGAAAAAACACATATAGAGGGAAAACCCTATCTTTGTATTGATTGTGGGAAGTCTTTCCGCCAGAAGGCAACACTCACTAGACATCACAAAACACATACAGGGGAGAAAGCCTATGAATGTACTCAATGTGGAAGTGCCTTTAGAAAGAAGTCATACCTCATTGATCATCAGAGAACACACACAGGAGAGAAACCATATCAATGCAATGAGTGTGGGAAGGCATTTATCCAGAAGACAACGCTCACTGTACATCAGAGAACTCACACAGGAGAGAAACCCTATATTTGTAATGAATGTGGGAAGTCATTCTGCCAAAAGACAACCCTTACTCTCCATCAGAGAATTCATACAGGAGAAAAACCCTACATTTGTAATGAATGTGGCAAGTCTTTCCGCCAGAAAGCAATCCTCACTGTTCATCAGAGAATACACACAGGAGAGAAATCCAATGGATGTCCTCAATGTGGAAAAGCCTTTAGTAGGAAATCGAATCTCATCCGCCATCAGAAAACTCATACAGGGGAAAAACCATATGAATGCAAAGCATGTGGAAAGTTCTTTAGTTGTAAGTCAAACCTCATTGTCCATCAGAAAACTCACAAGGTAGAAACCATGGGAATTCAATAAGTAATGTGACTTTTTTGTAAGAACTTCTTAAGTCATAGTAAACCCTATCCATGATGTTACAAGTGTAGTAATATTCAACAATTCAAGGTATATACCACATATCTATCTGTGTTTGCTAGTCTGTAAAAAGTACACATAAAAAATATTACCTGACAAATCAAATGACAAAAACTATTGAAAATATAAGTCCCAATCTTTTAATTAGTATGTTGAAAAGATGAAAAGTTCCTCTGCCAAATTACTATAAACTTTTAAAATGGAAACAGTTGGCCAACCAGCAGTGGTCCACAGATTATACTGTGAGTAGAAATGCTTTAAAAGAAAGGTGTGCACTACATTTCTTATTGCAAATATGGGATAAAACTAGTTGTTACCACCTCAAAGTTAACCACAGTTCTCAATTCTAATATTATACATTAGGTTTTACATATTATAAACCTTTATATAAATTGGATTATATATCATGTATTCTTTCATATACATGTCTCACTCAGCATTATGTCTCTGAGTCTAATCATAAGTGCATTTGACAGAAGTTATTTATTTTCATTCTATGTAGAATCCCATCATATGACCGTATCACAATTTATCCATTCTACTGTTTATATTGTTTATAGCTTAGAGTCATAATAAATAATGCTTCTAAGAACATATTTGTCTTTTAACATACCTATATGCATTTCTCTTATATATATACTTAGGAGTGGAATTGCTGGGTCTTAGGGGACATGTATGTTCAGTCAGATTTGGTAAATATTTCCAAAGAACACAGAATTTTTACAGCATGAGATAATTCACTCTTGAAAGGAAACAACTGTGAATATTATCAATATGATAATAATGCAGACTAGAGAATTCATGCCAGAGAGGAAGTCTATAAAATTATACCGTGAAAATTGGGAATGTGACTAAGTAAAAAGGCTTTTAGCCACTGCACAAATCTTAATACAATATTAGACAAATATAATAAATATAAGGTTGTCTTTAACCAAAGATAGTATCTTATTTAAAATCAAAAGTTATTCTAGAGAAAGAGAAGCATCCAGCATTTTTCTTGCTCAACTTCAGAGAATTCTGAAAGGAGAAAAATCCTGTGACTATGTTGAGGGTTGGGAGTGAGAGAAGATACAGTCTCCACCCATGGCCTATATCTTACAGTCATATACAGGCAATATGAAAATACTTTATTCATAGCTCAAGTCTTATACAACACCAGGGAATTCATACTGGATGGGAATTCTTCAAATGAAATTATTGTAAGAATGAGTAGCCATAGCTCACTCCCTATACAACATCATAGAATTCATACAAAAGAAAGGAAGATTTAAAAGGAAACAAATGAGGCATGGGATTCTTAACTATAGGGAAAACTAGCTTCCATGATAGAAGGTCAACCATACTGAGACTGTATTGTTAGAGAGTCTCTGTGTAAGCACCCTGGTCAACAGCCCCAGTAGGGCTCCCAGCCATCAGTCAGCAGCAGCTTCCAGCCTGTGAGTAAGCCTTCTTGGACAGTCTAATCTTCAGATGATTAGTCCCTTCTGACACATCAAGGTAGGACCACAAAAGAGATCCCAAGCAGGAACTACCCAGCTTGAGGCCTTCCCAAATTCCTTATCCACAAAGTAGTTTCTTTTATTATTATTAAATTTGATTGTGTGATTAAAAGAAAACTTGGGCTGCCAGGTGCGATGGTGGTTTGGGTGTTGAATACCACAGGGCCAACTTTGTGGTTTGAGTCTTGGACCTGGCAACTTGAGAAAAACGCCAGGGTCGTATGTTTGCATCTCCAAAATCCTGAGAGAAGAATGGAAGAGAAGGGCTTGCAGTGTGTCCATCACCCCTGGGGAGTGATTTCTCTAGATATCTCTCTCTCTCTCTCTCTCTCTCTCTCTCTCTGATGAATGCATGTGCCCTGTAGCAAAACAACTAAAAAAGAAAGAAAGGAAACTTAATTTGTTAGTATCTATTTAAATAGTAAAAATAAAAGGTATAAATATTTGGATTCCAGGGTCAATGAGCAAAGGTGTGATTACTAGGTGATTTTGTACTGAGCAAAAACTGGCCCCAAAATACAATTGAAGAGTTTTTTCTTTATTTTTATTATTATTATTATTAATACATTTAATTGCTATACATCATTTAGATTTAAAGAGACTTTCTCCAGCTAAAATTGAAGATTTGACTGTATTTTTGGCTTACAAGTGCATATTTAATAACAGTTCAATTGAGGGAGATGTGTGTATATTTTCCTCATTTTCTGCCAGTAAACGTTTATCAACTTGGTTAACTTACCTCTACAAATGCATACTTCTCAATTTTGCAAAAAAATAAAAGTGAAAATAACTGCAAAGACTTGCTGTGGAAAATAAAGATGGAGACAAGTCTATCTTCAAAACATCCCATGCCAAGTTATTTCTTATGTGGTTCTTGTGCAGGGAGAAATCAAGACGTGAAATCCGTTGGAGATAAGTATAGCTATGTCCTTGCATGTGGTACTTTTGAATAAAGAAAGTCTCAGTGAGTTTTCATTTTAAAACAGCTATTTACATATAAGCTGCCTCTTATGAAATTTTAGGTCAATAGTTCACATAATGGCATCTAGTGGCATTTGGCTATATTCCATAATTCTGCCTAAAGTTTTCTTTTAAAGAAGTTGAGAACTGTCTTTGCATTAATATTGGCAGATTTTCACCTTATGAATTAATATATGAAATAAAGACTTTAGATGTAACAGGTCTATTGTTCAATGAGCAGATCTGAAGAGTAAATAAACATGGTATTAGAATCCAAGTCTACTTACTCCAAAGTATATGCAAAAAAATAGGAATCATTTTGAAAATTTATATTTTGCACACCTAACTGCAAATTGTAAGATATGCACAAAGATTTCATCACTCTAAAGCACTACAAGACTCCACAGAGCATACTTATGTAATGCTTTTAATTTTAAAGCAAAAGATGTGGAGCAGCAAGAGAAGGAAAGTATAAATAAGCATTGGCATTGGGCGTTGGGGTGCAGATCATAGAAGAGGGTGACTGAGAACCATCCAGATGCAAGTTCTCTGGTATCTTTAGTCACACAAAGACTGCACACTGTCTCTGGATTGGACCACTAAGATCTGTATGAAACTTGTCTTTGGGAGAGCTCAAGGCAGAAGTTCTCTGAGAGGGATTTTATGCCTCTCTGTTCATTTGATGCAAAGTCAAGACAGGCTGTCTAAATCAGTTTGTGTGTTGAAAACCATCAGTAAGCTCACCAGCTCTGGAGGTCTCCAAGGGAGTATCAAACTAAACAATACTTCATATATCTCACTGCATTTATATCAACCAAGAATCAAAGCTAAACATCCAGCTACCATGAGATAATATTGGAGTTTTCCAGTGCAACTATAAACCACCTCCATCCTATAAACGTGGTTCTTATAATTCCTGTGTGTTTTCTGATAATATATGTGAACAAGTACATCTCCTTAATTCCTGTGCCCCAGTGTCACATAGTGCACAGTATATCTTGAATGTGACCCTTTCTTGCCAGTCAGTACTTGAGTTTCCTCACTCAATTTCTGGTCTAGCAATAGCATCAGGCTTTCTAATGCCTGCCTTATAAATAACTTGCAACAGCAAATACACAGGCCGCAACCCTGGCCTGCAACATTTATCTGGAATGGTCCACCATTTGACATATTCATAAGCCTAGGTGTGACAAGGATTTGTAACATCAGAATTTTCATACACTGCTAATAGGAATGCAAAATGGTAAAGACACTGGTAATCAATTGATCAGTCTCTTAAAAGTTAAACATACACTTCTCATATGACCCAGCAATTCCACTTACAAGTATTTATCATAGAGAAATGAAAACTTACATTCACACAAAACATACATGAGCATTTATAGTATCCTTTATAATTACCCAAAATTAGACACAAGCCAAGTGTTCAGTGGGTAAATCAATACATTGTGGTACATCCATACAATGGAACGCTAATTAAAACAATGAACTACTGATACATGCAACATTATAAATGAGCCTCAGATGTATTGTGTTGAAGGAAAGAACTCAGTCCCAAAAAGTTACATACTGTTGATTCCACTTATATTACATTCTAAAAAGTGCAAAAATATAAGAATAAAGTTAAGTGGTTGCCTAGAGTTTGGGGTGGGAAGGAGGGTCTGAATACAAAGGAATGCACAAGAGAATTACCTAAGATGTTGAAGTTGTTTTGTATATTGTTTGTGTTCATAGATATAAAATCAGAAGCATGTGTAAAAAAGATCATATAAATATAAACACACCAAAAACAGTGAATTGTACTGTTTTAAATTTCTTTTAATAAATAAAACTCTAGATCTGTTCTTCATCTTCATCCACAGGATCTCCTGATTTGTCCCTCCAAAAGAGTCTTCAGATAGACTTTGTTTGTTTGTTTGTTTTAGTTGCAAGAGTGTGCATGTGCTCCCCAGAGAGAGAGGGGGAGAAAGCACATCCCAGTGGGGTCATGCTGTAATCTCTTCTATTTCCCCATCCCATTGAGATTTGAGGGGTGTGTTTTTCAAGCCACAGGGCTAGGATTTGAACCATAGTTGGCCATATGGGATCTGGCTCCCTTAACCACTAGGCTACAAGACTGGATCGAGACTGACTTCTGAATTGTATGTCCAGTAGCCTACACACACACTCCCTCTCTCTCTTCTTGCCCACCTAGTCTCATAATAACTTATTCCTCACCCACAGCACTAGAACACACTGCATTTGCCCCATGTTTATAACCTCCATTTAGATGGTCAGCCCTAGACTAGAGGGGCAGTCTTCATGTCAGGGGTTACCTATGTATGCTGTGAACACACAGGTAGTGTGTTCTGTGGGGCATTCTCCAGCAGAACTAACAGTGGCTTACCAACCAGTCAATACACATGCAATCACCGGAAATCACTAAATGGGGCCAATCCTGCTTCTACCCATTGTTCTCAGTATGTTCTTATTTGCAACATAGTGCCACATTAAGGTCTTTTTACGTGTATACTGCATTCTGTAGGATGTTATGCCACCTTTACAGAATATGTCATTTGAAGGTTTACCTTGATTGTACTTTCAGAAGGTCACTCCAGTGCTATATCAGGGGAACTTCTAAATCATATAGCATGTGATATGACCATTTATCCCATTGTTATGGCCAACTCCTGCATTTTTTTCTATAAAGCATTCATTTTACAGAAAATAAAAATAAGATGCTATGTTGTATGAGATACCATACAACATAGAAAGCACACCCCACTGGGAGGTGCTTTCTCCCCCTCTCTCTGGTGAGCACATGCACACTCTTGCAACTAAAACAAACAGACAAACAAAGTCTATCTGAAGACTCATTCAAGCCTTTGAACCAAGTATTCTGTAGTCTAAAGGCATTGCCCAGAAGCATTCACCAGAGTGATGCATAAAACAGACATGATAGTGAGATATAATACTGACCACTAAATTTATATCCTTCAGATCTTTTTTTCCCAGAGATATTTTTGCTATAGGACACATGTGCTCACTGGAGAGACAGAGAGACAATGAGAAATGACTTCTCCAGAGGCGGATGGCCATGCCACAATCCCTTCTCCATTCTCTTGGGATTTTGGGAATGTACATACACGCACCCAGCGTGAGTTTTAAGCCATCAGGTCTGGGACTTGAACCACAGTCAACTACATGGGAATTCAGCTATGTAACCATTACTCCATTTGCTGGTCCCTCCTTTAGATCTTTAGAGTGACACTAATCTTTATCACTTCCCTGAGACATGATGCAGTTTCTCGTATACTATTATAATTTGAGAAGACAGGGAGTTATTTTAGAGACTTCCACTTGGTCTTTTACACTATAATAGATAGTTCTTAAACTATAGGCCAAGGACCTAATATATGGAGTTACTCCAACTCTGAAGTATCTATACAATGACAACCATGTAATGTGTGGACCCATTAGAATGACTTTAAGCTAGACTTTGCCCAGAACTCTTTTACCTGACCCTCACATGCTTCTGTTCTAACACATGGACTATGATAATGCTTTGGGCTTCTGGGTATTGACATTAACTCAGACCCTTTGTGTGATAGTCCTTAAGAAGTCTGGGTTTCTACTTTTCCCAATGTACAGTTGCTAAAGTAAATGGTCGTGGATCCCTGTGGTAGGAAGACTTATGATGCCCCTTAATAGGGCCAGCCATGATGGTGCAGGATGAGCATACCATTGTGTGATCCTGGAGCCCTATGGAAGATGGGATTTAGTTCCTGGATCAATCTATACCTGTAGGGCACATGCACATGTCTATGATTCTGACTGGCCGGATCTCCTAATAAATATTGGATTGTCAGAAAAGTCATGACACATTTTTTGCATAGAAAAACAGAAAAATACATCATGTCTTTTCCAATGACCCAATAAACAAACTTAAAAAAAAAAGAAAAAGAAAAAGATGTCCCTTAATGATCTCTGAGTACTGACACTCATACGCTTCTGTAATTCATTCCCTGTGGACATAAGCTGATTTAATAACTTGCTTCTAACCAATAGAATATGGCAAAGGTTATGAGAAGTCACTTTCATTATTAATTACAGAAGTTTGTAATTTCCTTCCTGATAGCAGAATCTTTTTATTGATTCCACCCCTTGCTGGCTTTGATGACACAAGACTCCACTTAGAAAAAAATCCACATGGCAATGAACTAACATTGGCTCCTGGACAACAACCAGAAAGAAACAGAGGTTCTCAGTCTAA